CCATTTTGAATCCTTTTGGCTAATTTTTAACCGTTTTAGGAAAATCCTGGTCTGAGACTCACATCAAAGGGCAGAACCTCCACCGACGTGTTGAACAGTTTGTCTCCTGGATGTTCGATGTTTCCGCTGCGAAAGAAAAACCTGAAACAAAGGCAAACAAAACTTAAATTACATTCATGGAAATCAGAGGTAGAAGCTGCAGCTCAGACTTCTTGCAGTTTTATACAAAGAACCCTACAGAGTGACCCGTCAGTTATCGATGGCTTTGTCACTGTAAACGGTTTTTATTTACTTTTTGGCAAGTTTCAAGTCATTATGGACAAATTTTGAATGATTTAGGACAAATGCTGTAGTCTGGGCCTCTACTGAGAGCTACAGCCTGGGCCTCTACTGAGACCTACAGCCTGGACCTCTACTGAGACCTACAGCCTGGGCCTCTACTGCTGGCTACAACCTGGGCCTCTACTGTAACGACTACACCTGCAGTGAGATCATTTTTGACAGATTGGTTAAAGCCTTCATGCAATGATTTTGAAGACTTCTGTAGCTCTCTGAATCTTATCCAAATCCTCAGAGCCCTTCACACCCTAACCCCAAACACCCAGAGAAGCCCCCTTTAATTGGCTTGTATATAACTAATGCCCCCCCCAAAAAAAACTAAAAAAAAAATATCGAGGGCAAACGGAGTAATTTTGGACCCTGATAATGAGACACCAATAGCCGTACACTCCAAACGGTTTCTAGTGTGTCTGGATGGCTGGTACCGACCTCTCGATGCGGACCGGTGTGAAGAAACGTATCCGGATGAAGTCTCCGGCCACAGGAGTGAACGCCCAGAAGAAGTCCTCCCCCAGGTAGGCCTTCTCCAGCGTGAAGTGCTGGTAGGTCTTCAGGCTGGTGGTGACCTCGGCCAGCGGGTTGGCGTGGCCCTTATGGAGCGTCTGCTTCCCAAAGTCTTTGTCCTGAACGAAGAACAGGAGGTTTAACTGCTGATGAGTTCACATGTTTTAATTTCTGCAGGCCGATGATAGTTTCTGCTCATCCACAAACTGTCCTGAGTTCATATTTACTCTGATTGACTTTCACACATTTCTCTGGTTTCACATCATAAACCAGCATCAGAAGAATCAAATACAGACGTGTCAAGTCATTCTGGATTGTTTTCTATCAATAGACACGTTTCTAGTGTTTCTACAAAGATTTGCAGTTATTTTAGACACGTTTCAAGTTNTCAACATGTTTTTGGACTGTGTGGGAGGAAGCCGGAGAACCCGGAGAGAACCCACGCTGCACGGGGAGAACATGGAGACTCCACGCAGGAAGATTCCGGTGCCCCCACCGGGACGCGAACCGGCAACCTTCTTGCTGCGAGGCAACAGTGCTACCAACTGCTCCTCCTTGCAGCAAGCTGCAGCCATTTATTGTGAATTGTGCACCAGTGTGTAGCCCCGCCCACACCCCAAAAGTAGGTCACTAGGTCAATTAAGAACATAAATGACAACAGTTCAACACTAATAGTTACAGCGGTTCCAACAGGGTCCTTGACCTGTTAGTGCTCAGACCTGAATGAACAGATCTACTTTCTGTCTGACTGGATCACAGACCTGTTTGTGTCCATGGAACATTTTTGAGGCATTTTAGAAATTATTGTCATTTTGGATTTTTTTTTGACAAGATTCAAGTCATTTTCAACGTAGCAGACACATTCTGAACCAGTCTAGACACGGTTCAAGTGTTTTTGGACAAACTGTCATTTTCAGGTCCCTTCATTCTGGACAGGTTTTGTATAATTATACTATTTTTAGACTATTTTGACGAAATTGGACTCTTTACTTAGAACAATTCTGAGTAAATTCAGAGACATTTTAAGTAATTTTGGGCACATTTCATGGAAATTTGGACAGACTTGAAGTAATTTTTGACAATTTGAGAGTCATTTTGGTAACATGAGAAACCAGAAGTTTACATCCACTGTATGAAAAGACCTTTTTTTTTTCCCCCCTCACTGTCTGACATTAAATCAGATGAAACGTTTCCTGTTTCAGCTCAGTCAGGATCACCAACATTATTTCTATTTGCTGAACACCAGAGTAATGAGAAAGGGAATGTTTTATTAGTTTCTTCAAAGTCAGAAGTTTACATCCACTCAGATGCCTTCAGACTATTTGGGAAAGCCCAGATGATGATGTCATGGCTTTAGAAGCTTCTGATTGGTTAATTGACAACATGTAAGTTAACTGGAGGCACACCTCAAACACACTGCTTCCTTTAGTGGCAACATGGAACATCTAAAGAAACCAGCCAAGATATCAGGAGGAGAACTGCGGACCTCCACCAGTCTGGTCCATCCTTGGGTACAACTTCCAGATGGCTGAAGGTTCCACGTTCATGTGTTCAGACAGTTCTATCAGTATAACCACCATGGGAATGTCCAGCCATCATAGGCTCAGGAAGGAGACGGTTCTGTGTCCAGAGATGAAGTGTTCTGGTTGAAATGTGCGTATCAACCCCAGAACAGAAGCTAAAGACCTTGTGAAGATGCTGCTGTCAGTTTTAACAATATCTGAGCAATTCTGGAGAAACATTGGTT